TTTTAAACCCTAGTTTACTCTCTTAAGCAATAAATTTCTACTCTTAGTATTGGATTATTGTTCATCAACAATTCAAGTTTTCTCAATTGAAGTAATTGGTATTCACCTACTTTATCTCTCTTTTACTTTTCATTGCTCATTAACTATGTTTTCTTTATTAAATCTTGTTTTGAATTCGTTAATATGTGTGAGTGGATCCTTAATCCGAGATCTTGCAAAGCCCGAATATGATTGATATATGGATTGAATCTTTAATTTCTCCAATAATAATCCCAATTGACATGCTTAAGTGCTTATGCCAATGCTAGATTAGGAATAATTAGTATTGTTATCATCCCTTTGTTCTTATTGCAACGGAAGTTGGGTATTAACGGGATTTGGGTATTTTAATTAAGGGTTTGAAGATCATCACGGAAGTAGATGATTGGATGATTAGGAAGTTAAGTATTGTGTTTAATCTCCCTTATTTACTTGATTCCATGGAAATAGGCTTGATAGTTGATTTGGGAAGTCATTGATAACTCGGAAGAGACCTTTGGTATTGTTTAGGCAATGCTTTTCCTCTTGTCAATTGATTTGTTATGGTGGGTAGATTTATTAATGCATTAATTATATTCGTGGTAATGCTTGATCTTGGATGCTTTGGTTTATTGGTTCATCACTTTCTCTAGATTAATTGTGATATTTAATATTTCAGCTTTTAGTGTTCGTCATCATTGATTTGGTTACTTACTTGGTGATTACTTGAGTCTGATTAATTAGGTGAACCTTAGTCTCTTGGGATTCGACCTTTACTTGCCCGACTACATAGTTAGGAGGAATAGTTAGGTTATTTTTGTTAGGTACGCGACACGCTTATAAAATTTTGGCGCCGTTGCCGGAACTAACAGTTTCATTTTAATTATTCGTGATTCGTTTTTACTAAGCTTTATTTGTTGCTTCGGCTATTGTTTCTTGTGTTTTTTATACTCTTCCTTTAGTTCTATGTTGCATGCAAACATGACTTTCAGGGTCAGACGATTTAGCACCTTTTGATTCTGAAATCGAAGCAACTGTAAGGAGACGAAGAGGTAGAGGGAGAGGGAGAAATTGAAACATGGACGACCCAGCAACGAAATCTCTTTTGGAGTACGGTATTCCTGATACAACAACCGGACTCCTCTCAAGCATTATCAGACCACCTGTCACTGTTTAGAACTTCAAATTGAAACCACAGTTCATTCAATTCATCTCCAATGATTCGTTTGCAGGCACATCTCATGATTGCCCAGTGAGTCACATTGATAGTTTCTTGGAGAAATGCGATACTATGAAGTTAAATGGTGTTACAGATGATGCTCTTAGACTTCTCCTTTTTCCTTTCTCATTACGGGATAAGGCGAAGGAATGGTTGAGAGATGAAGGTTCTAGCTCATTTGACATATGGGATAAACTGGTGAAGGCTTTTCTAGTCAAATTTTTGGGACAGGAAAAGGCTGCAAGGTTGAGAAATGAGTTATCTACATTCAGGCAGTCAGATGATGAGTCCCTATATGACGCATGGAAGAGATTCAAGCGATTGCAGAGACAATGCCCTCACCATGGTATTCCTGAATAGATGTTGATCCAAACTTTCTATAATGGTTTAACTCATGAGTTCCGAATCTATATTGATGCTGCATCCGGGGGTTCTCTCTTGACTAAGAACCCAACTGAGGCGAAGGAACTAGTTGAGAAGATGGCGGTTAATGATAATTATCATCCAGGAGGCCGAAATAGTGTGAAGAAGGGAGGTAAATTAGATGTTGATGCTCTAACTCTTTTGACTAGCTCTGTGCAGGCATTGTCAAGAAAGTTTGACAGACTCCAGGCTGGATCATCCGCTAGCTTACCTGAGACTTGTCAAATGTGTAATGTGCAAGGTCACATTGCACCTAATTGCCCACAAAATTCAAATGAGATATCAATCAAGGAAGCCATTGCATTCTACACTTATAACCCCAAAAGGCCATATGACCCCCACTCTAACACATATAATGAAGGTTAGAAGAATCACCCAAATATTTCCTACAAGAACACCTAAGCCTATCAAAATCCACCTCCACCACCACCTCAAAAAAACAATTATAATGCACCACCTGGTTTCCAACCAAGACCACCTCTAGTCCAGCAACCCATGCAACCTATACAACCACCTCCTTAAAAATCTAACCTTGAGCTAATGATGGAGAACTTTATCACCACAACAAATAATTCCATCCAACAGTTACAAGCTCATGCAAAATCAGATAAGTCAACTTGCTCATCAAGTTGGCCAATCTTCAAAGACACCGAGTACCTTTCCAGGTCAAAGAGAGTAACCACAAAAGGGGCATATGTATGCCGTGACTTTGAGGAGTGGAAAGCAATTGGAAAATTCTCCTGTAAGGGAGCCATCAAAGAAGGTTGTTAAAGGGGTAGACGCAACATAAAAGGTGGTTGCAAGTACTATGATTGAGGAGGAGCCAAAGGAAACGACTCCACCACCACTTGCTCCATATGTGCTAAAGGTTCCTTTTCCGCAGAGGTTAGCCCAAGCTAAGTTAGAGAAAAAGTATGGAAAATTTCTCGATATTCTGAAGAAGCTTCACATCAACAACCATTCTTAGCCACTACAGGAGCAATCATTGATATGAAGAATGGTAAAATTACTTTCAAAGTAGGCGATGAGAAAATGGAGTATTCACTCTTGAATGCTATGGGAACTCCTTCCATGGGAGAGACTATTTGTCAAGTGGACGTCCTTGATGATTTACAATGTGAGCAACTTCCCTTGATTAAAATGGATGATGCACTTGAAACTTTGTTAGTGGGGAGTGCCGATGATGAAAATCGGGTAACAAGGGAGTACGCAGGGCTACTAGAGGAAGCAAAAGCCAATCCAATCACCGCTCCGGTCAAGGAAGTCCTTAGTGTATCGAGTGTTGGGGAGAGTACTATGCCTCCCGAGGTAGAGTTGAAACCCCTTCCCTCTTCTCTTAAATATGCATATCTTGGTCCTAATAATACATATCCTATTATTGTTAATGTTGAGCTTAATGACACAGAATTAGAGCAACTGCTCACTGTTTTGAGAAAATATAAAAATTGTTATTGGGTACACCATTGATGATTTTAAGGGTATTAATCCCTCTTTTTGTATGCATAAAATAATTCTTAAGGACGATCATGCCTCCTCTATAGAACCTCAAAGAAGGCTTAATCCAAACACGATGGAGGTAGTTAAAAAAGAGGTTCTTAAATTGCTTGTTACAGGAATAATTTACCCTATCTCAGATAGTAAGTGGGTTAGCCCTGTACAAGTAGTACCTAAAAAAGCAGGTATGACCGTTGTCAAGAATGACAAGGGTGAGCTAGTCGCCACTAGGACTTTCACAGGGTAGCGAATGTGTACTAACTATTGAAAGTTGAATAAGGCCACTCGGAAGGACCATTTCCCCTTCCCCTTTATTGATTAGATGCTTGAACGTTTGGTTAAGAATTCCTTTTTCTGTTATTTGGATGGATATTCTGGTTTCTTTCAAATTCCTATTCGTCCTTGTGATCAGGAAAAGACCATAGTCACATGTCCATATGGCACTTTTTCATAGCGTAGGATGCCATTTGGATTATGTTATGCCCCGGCCACGTTTGAACGTTGTATGATGGCAATTTTTTTAGGTCTCATAGAGAATTCTATGGAAGTATTTATGGATGATTTTTCTGTTTATGGAACATCTTTCTATGTATGTCTTGAAAATTTGAAAAAGGTGCTCCATAGATGTCAGGAAGTCAATCTAATTTTAAACTGGGAAATGTGTCATTTTATGGTACAATAGGGAATCGTTTTAGGTCATGTCGTGTCAAATAAGAGTATTGAGATCGATAAGGCCAAAATAGAGGTCATTGAGCGATTACCCCCCTCCCCAAACTCTGTAAAAGGAGTTCGAAGTTTCCTTGGTCATGCAGGTTTTTACCGTCGCTTCATTAAGGATTTTTCAAAAATTGCTCGACCCCTAACTGAGCTTCTAGCTAAGGATGCTCCATTTATTTTTACTGATGCTTGTCTTGAAGCTTTTAACAGGTTGAAGGAATCTTTGATCTCTGCTCCTGTTATGCAACCCCCGGATTGGACCCTACCTTTTGAAATTATGTGCGATGCTAGTGACTATGAGGTAGGAGCCGTTTTGGGGCAACGAAAGGACAGAAAACTTCATGCTATTTATTACTCTAGTAAAACTCTTAGCCCTACTCAAATGAATTATGCCACAACCGGAAAAGAGATACTAGCAGTAATATACGCAATAGACAAGTTTCATTCTTACCTAGTTGGTTCGAAAGTAATAATTCATACAAATCATGCGGTATTGAGATATTTAATGAGTAAAAGTCACACCAAGCCGTGGTTGATTTGTTGGATCCTTCAGTTGCAAGATTATAACATCAAGATAAAGGACACGAAGGGGACTGAGAATGTCGTCGCAGACCATCTCTCTCGCCTCCTCCTCGATAATAGGGACGGAGATGACCTCCCTTTTGATGATTCTTTCCCTGCTGAACATTTATTAGCTCTTTTGAAAATTGAGTAACCTTGGTATGCTGATTTAGCTAATTTTTTATCCACAGGTACAATGCCTCATGGCTACTCGTCTCAACAACGGAAGAAATTCCTCTATGAGGAAAGGAGACACTTTTGGGAGGATCCTTTCTTGTATAAGTTATGTGCGGATGCAGTGATTAGACGATGTATCTCGAAGAATGAGGTAACCAATGTCATCTCTCATTGCCATGACTTACCGTGTTGTGGACATGCAGGTCCTTCGAAGACAACTACGAAGATTTTGCAGTGCGGTTTTTATTGGCCAACCTTGTTCAAAGATGTATATTCCTATGTCAATACCTGTGATCGTTGTCTACGGACGGGCAATATTTCTAGGAAGAATGAGATGCCACTTAACAACATACTCCGGGTCGAGTTATTTGACGTGTAGGGGATAGACTTCATGGGTTCGTTTCCTTCTTCTCATGGAAACCGATATATCCTAGTAGTCTTTGACTATGTGTCAAAGTGGGTTGAAGCTATTGCTACTCCAACCAATGATGCTCGTGTGGTAAGTAAATTTTTCAAGAAAATTATTTTTCCTCGATTTAGTATCCCACGTGTGTTGATTAGTGATAGGGGAACACATTTCTTGGAGCATCGGTTCGAAGCGATGTTGAAAAAATATGGAGTGCAACACAGGCTTGGCATTGGCTATCATCCACAAACCAGTGGTCAAGTTGAAGTGTCCAACAGAGAAATTAAGTTTATCTTAGAGAAAACGGTTGCAAGGACAAGAAAAGATTGGTCAGCCAAGATTGATGATGCACTATGGGTATACCGAATAGCTTTTAAAACGTCAATAGGTACAACCCCATATAGACTTGTCTATGGGAAGGCATGCCACCTACCCGTTGAGCTAGAACACCGAGCATTTTGGGCTATTAAGAGTTTAAATTTTGATGCTAAAGTAGCGGGAGAAAAGAGATTGTTACAATTGAATGAACTAGATGAGCTCCGTCTTGAAGCCTATGAGAGTTCAAAAATATACAAGGAAAGAACTAAACGGTGGCATGATAAGGGCCTTGTGAGAAGAGAATTCAAGGAAGGAGATCATGTCGTTCTATTCAACTCACGATTGAAATTGTTTCCCGGTAAGCTTCGGTCTAAGTGGTCGGGTCCTTTCACTGTTTTTAAGGCCTACCCCTACAGCACTATTGAACTATGGAACAAGGGCGGAGGCACTTTCAAGGTTAACGGACAAAGGGTGAAGCATTACCGAGTCGGGGATCCTATAGAAGAGAAGGTGAACATCGCACTCTCTTCCCCATCGCCAACTTAATGACCATTACTACAGTCGAGCTAGCGACCTTATAAACAAGCCCTTGCGAGAGGCAACCCATTTTCTTAGCTTTCCCTATTTTTCCTTTTCCTTTTTAGTATCATGTTTGTGTTGTTTATGTTGTTTCTTTTCAGAGAACACCGAGCTATGCAAGAAGTGGGATGTCAAGAAAGTCGTCAAAGGTTGATAAAACGAGGAATTACTCATCGCCCTGGCAGACAGGGCATGGCATGCCCGACCGGGCGCGAGAGGCAAGAGGAACACAGAAGACTAAGGCGTCAGTTACCCTTCACCTCCCGGTCAGGCCGGGCATGCAATGCCCGATCAGGCGTGAGAAGCAGGAGGCAGAGAAACATTTCATCTCAAAAGTTAACCCCTAACGCCCGGTCATGCCGGGCATGAGCTGCCCGACCGGGCGCGAGATCCAGTAACCAACAGAATTACATACGGAAATTTCTCCAACCTCCACCGCACGGTCAGACCGGGCATTGATGCCCGATCGGGCACGAGGGGTAGCTACGTGAAAATCGAGTGCTATTTTAGAAAAAACGCCCCTCTTTTTATTTCATTATACTCCTTCCTCTTCATTATTCCCACACTCTCTCTCTCTAAAAACCCCTAAATAAAAAAACCCTAACTCTCATCATCTCCTCTAATTCCCACAAACTTCCCTCAAATCCTTTTGATTTCTTCATCCTTCATCACTTCTACCCCATATCCAACCTCTATTTCTATTCCTCTCCCTCCAAACACTCATCTCACCCAAATTTCATTTTTTCTAGAGAAAGAAAGCTTGAGAAACATCCATGGCTACAAGGAAGAGAAATAGGAGCGCCCCTCAAGATCCACAACTAGATTTGGAGAGCATTATAGGGTTCCCAAACATCAAGTTCGTGGCCGAATTTCTAAATCAAAAGAAGCGTTTCCTAGATCTCCAACATCGGAAGGTAATTCCTACTCGTTTTATAGACCGCTCTCTTCTTGCAAAATTAGGAATTGATTCTGAATGTAGAACTTTGTTTTCTAAACTTGGCATGTCTCAATTATTTTTTAACATGATCCATTATACATATGAAGACATCACTCTTGAATTCTTGAGCTCTTTTGATGCAGTAAAAGGTAGAGATGGTTTGGTGACACATGTAGTTTATAGATTGTTGAATAAATCCCATCGTCTTACATTAGATGGTTTTTCTAGGAAGTTTGGTCTTCCATCCACAGGATTAACCATGCAACCGAACAATTTCATATATGGGGATTTTTCGTTTTCCATGACAGGTGATAACATTGAGTCTATGCAACATGCCCCGCCTAACAAAATCCATCAACCCGTCCTTAAACTTTGGACTCGCTTTTCTGGGTGGACTATTTTTGGACGGATACAACCTAATAACGTTAGGGCAGACAAGGTTGCGATCTTGGGTAGTTACCTAAGATATGGGGATTTTGATGAAGGTTTTTGGATGAACATTGCTCCCCTATTTTCCCTTCATCTTAGGAAACAGGGACTTACCTTCACCACTGTCAAACCTAATGGAGACCGTACCAACATCCCTATAGTCATAGGCGGTTTGGTGACCCACTTGGCAGTTAAGTAGGGTTTTGATGAATCTCACCACACCAGTGCCAGGTCCCATTACCTTGGACCAACATTATTTCATTGCCACCAACTGGATGTCCATTGAACTTGGCAATTACAAAAAGGCTTATTTGAAAGAATAATAGGCGATCCATCTCCTTACCCTCTCCTGACCTTACTAAGATTCGCCTTCACCAATCTTCATATCTTTTAGAGGTCCCTAGTAGTTCACCTAACCCAGTTTCCCCCATGAGGACTTACTATAAGCGAGAGTCTACTGAACCCTCTTCATCTTCCCCTGCACCACCTACACCGCCTATCTCTTCTAACAATTAGGCCATCATGGCTGGCATCCGGGATCTTTCTTCCCATCTCCAGACACTTGAGACCGACTATCGCCTGTCTATGCATCTTGTTTATGACTATTTTTGCAGGCAAGGTCACATTCTGAGGGATGCTTCCCATCCTTCGTGGTATACTTTTGTCGATGTGGGAGACATTGCAGGTAGTAGTGGGGCAGCTGGTGATGATGATGATGAATAATTTGAGTGAGAATTCATAGGTGTTTTTCCCACCTCCCATACGTTACAATAAGGCCATTACCCAGTGTAGCTTGGGGGAGGTTTGTGTATATGTATATATCTCTCGCTACGTTCTCTTATTTATTTTTGCTTTGTTTGGTTTGTTTTATTGCTTTGGTTATCTAAAAAAAAATACGATAATCATGATAATGAATTGCCAGTGAACTACTTCTTAGTGCCCCTATCCTTGTTGCCAAAAGGTTTTTGACTTGATCTTGATTGAAAGGCTTGCATTGCGAATTAAATGATCATGATTTGACCTTGAATTGTTTTGATCCCTAGTAGAAGTCAACTTTATTAACCATGTATGAGTCTGGAGCTTGAGTGTGTTAAATGTGAGGCTTGAGCCTTAATTATTTATTCATATGTGTCTAGTTCCTGGTGTGATATTGATCTTAGTTTTGACTTTAGACTCTTAGTAATGTGTCATAATACATTGCACTTGCATGTTGAGAAGGACGAAGGTCATGTTCTTTAGGTGACCTCCAGATGAATTTAGAAACATTTGTTCCCTTCTTGCTCACCCATGTTGTAGCCTAGTCCATATTTTTTATGAAAGTCACAACATTAACCCCTTGGCCCCAATTGGTCACTTTTCCCAAGTCTATCTTGGGGGAGCTTTATATCGTTGTGTTTGTTTAATTTTGTGATGAAATTGGCGTTTAATGTGGAGCTCTATGAAAAAAAAAAGAGAAAAAAGAAGGAAACACAAGCATGGAGGTTTTATCATTGGAAAGTGAATGAAACGAAAAAAAAAAACAAAGAAGAAGAAGAAGAAGAAAAAAAGAGAAGTAAAATAAAGAAAAAAGAAAGAAGAATGAAAAATAAAGGTAATAGTGGATGTTCACACTGTAATTTGGATATGTGCTCTTGTGAGTGAGAATTATGGATCGAGGATGTTTATTGTTTATGTTCGATAGCTCCCCGGTTAGACTATGATTGCCTACATCTCCCAATTTTACTTCCTACCGACTTTTACCCGGCTTACGTTACAAGCTTGAAAAGACCTTCTCACCTTCGTGCATGGTATTGTGTTCATGTGAAATGAGTCCCTTGCCAAAATGCTGGAGTATATGTCACATTTCGAGTCGACATTTGACTAGGTTGAGCGATAATATAACCCTTTAAACACGCGAGTGTTGTGAGATGGGGGGTTTTCATTGTTGGTGGGGATGGAGAGAGATCGAGCTCATTTTTAGCTTGCCACATAAATGTTGTGTATAGTGATCATCAAGTGAGATATTTTAGTCATCAATTCCCGAGTTATACATGGTTGGTTTCGCTTGACAACTACTTAGGTTGATTGATGGTTTGAGTGATCCGATTGGTTGGATAAGATGTGTGCTTGTCTGATTTCGATTTTGAGTCTATGATTTTCAATTTCATTATGGGGTGAAATATGTTTACTTAGTTATTCGTTATTTTTTATTGTCTTTCTTGAGGGCGAGCAAAAGATTAGCCTGGGGGAATTTGATGTATGCATTTTATACCATATTTTACCCCTATTTTATAGCGTATATTTGCATGGTTTTGGGTTCTACGGAGCCATTTCTCGCTAACAATCTCTTCTCTAGTGTGTTCGATCTATTTTATTGAGTTTCACAGGAATACGGAGGTTTCTTGGATGAATCGGACTTGTCTTGGATGGTTATAGGAGAGGTTGTTGAGTGAAATATGAAGATTTCCCCAATGCCCTACCGAATACTCCATGCCATGGCTGCCAGGGCGAAGGAAGGAAGAGCTAACTACGAAGAATCATCATCGATCCCACATGCCTTGGATGACCGGGCATGTAATGCCCTGGCTGACCGGGCAATGAGGAGTGTCATCTTCAGAGCTTCATTCTCAAGTTGTGTTGCGCGCCCGACTGGACACTCAAAGCCCTGGCCGACCGGGCAGAAGAAGAACACAAAGAAGGAGTTTTACCTCGGCCGCCCGATCAGGCAGGCTTTTCCTGTGCAGACAAGGCACTGTTGCGCTGAAACCGTCTTTAATTAATTTCGGCTTTTTATCTTTTTAAGGGGTATAAATACCCATTGTAATCACTTTTAGAAGACAGCTTATTCCTTTGGTATTGTTTAGGCAATGCTTTTCCTCTTGTCAATTGATTTGTTATGGTGGGTAGATTTATTAATACATTAATTATATTCATGGTAATGCTTGATCTTGGATGCTTTAGTTTATTGATTCATCACTTTCTCTAGATTAATTGTGCTATTTAATATTTCAGCTTTTAGTATTCGTCATCATTGATTTGGTTACTTACTTGGTGATTACTTGAGTCTGATTAATTAGGTGAACCTTAGTCTCTTGGAATTCGACCCTTACTTGCCCGACTACATAGTTAGGAGGAATAGTTAGGTTATTTTTGTTAGGTACGCGACGCGCCTATCAGTAAGGCTAGGGTAAAAGGGTAGGAAATATTTGGGAAAATGTGATAGTAAAGTCATGCTCAAGGGAGCCAAATCCTAATAAAAATAAGGTCAAAAATAAATAATGACCATAAATCTCCAGCTCAACTCTACCAAAATTCACCAAACAACCAATCCAATATTTCACGAATTTTTCAACACTTTCAATTTCACTCATACAAATATAATATTATAGAATTTGAGTGAACAAATAAACTTTGAAATTTTCTTTCTTTTGAACTTGATTTTTTTTTTCTTTTGAATTTTTTTCTTTTTTTTTCTTGAACAACCTACAATTGGAACACTTGAACATTGAAACAATTTTCTTTTTTTCTTTTGCTCTTTTTTTTCTTTTTGCCTCACATTGGAAAATTTTCAACTTTTGAACACCTGTTCAATTTTTTTTTTCCAATTCACAAAATAAGAACA